ATAGATACACACAAAGATTTATGGAAAATATATGCACTTCATTTCCTTATTACTTATAACAGAGAGAAAATTGTAAGTAACTAAATATTTTAACATTAGGACACTGGTTGTGTAAATTGTGGACGAACCATATGATGAAATATTATGCCTTCAGTGAAAAGTCATGCCTCTGAGGAAAATTTCAAGATCAGGGAAAATATTCATATTATATTGTTAACTGGCAAAACAGAGTAAAGACTTAAAAAAAATCTAATCCTTAAAGGAAAAATTGTTATGTTTTTTACCTTTTATACTTTTCTGTCTTTAAATTATTTTACAATAAATTTGTAGTATAAACAAAAAATAAATAATTGTTATATTAAAATGAAATAAAATACTATTGTTAATGAAGATTATGTAAACATATGTAAGATCCAGCTAAGGAGTCAACCTTGATGAAGTAGTTCTCCTCTCTCCACTCCCTATACAACTCTCTCTCCTTCTGGAGTCTTAGGTTACCCTTTTATAAGATATATCATACCTAAACATAAAGCATTAAGTATAGGAGACACCTGATATATCTTGGTTCTTTCCCTTTCACTGAACTGCCAGAGGGCAGTAGCTTTCATTCTACACTTCAGACTCTTGAAATTCAGAAGTGATGACCCAGGTGTGACCATGTATCCAGATACCCTACCAACTGCAGATCTAGGACAGGGGGCAGCTTTCTCTCACTTTTGCCAGTAGTGCGGGTTGGCGCTCAGTAGAGGGATAGTGGGTACCAAAAATAGGAAGAAAAATCAGCTTGGAAAAACCTGAGGGGAATTTCATGGCTGGCACAATGTTTTATTTTTCTCCAATTATTTAGACAAAGGATAGAGACAATGTTAAGAGCCAGCTGGAGCCCACCCCACTGACCAAGGCTTGTGGTGAAATATAGTTGGGAACATTTATGTTCATCTCTCATACATCGTCAAATCTGCTTCCTCATACAAAACTTTATCCTTTCCCTTTGTTGTCTTTGTCAAGGCTGACTCCTACTGTATCTTTCTCCCAACTTTACAGAAAATCTGACCTCCAAGAGGTGCTAGAATAAGGATTAAGAAATCTTTTGTCAGATGACATCCTACTTCATAAATACCTAACAGCAATGGTGTGACTTAGACAAAGCTCCAAAGGATAGCAGCTCATTGAGCATGCACCCGAGTATTAACTGATTTAGCCTTTAATAGTAATGAGCATAAGATTTGGTCTAGTTGACTTTCAAATTCAAATTGGGTAATTACATACTAAAACAGGAGAATGGAGATATGTTTAAACAGCAGTTTCTACCCCTCAAAGTACCTTGGCTTTGGCTGTGAGTGAGGATGAACTATTGAGTGTTGAGACAACTGAAACAAAGAGGTCTCCTTGAATTAACAAGATTGGCTATATTTCAAATGATAATAATATCTTTACAGCAGTTTCAAGTAGAGTACTTGATATTTCTAATATAAATTTTATTTCTGTGTTTACACTCCCTTTTATCTGATTGCCTCTGTATTTGGTAACTTAAATAGCCTTAACATTTGTGCTCCTGGGTTTGTTTTTAAGGATTTAATGGCAAAGAGCCATTAAATCAATATGTTTGCCAGTAGAGAAAGAAATCTCTCAATAGATAAGTGAATGCTATATTTTTATAAATAACCTTAGAACTTCTATTAATTTCTCAAGCCAGCTTTACCTTGGAGTTCATTTCAATCCAGTCCTGGCTGCCCTACCCTGGGCAAGCACACTGTGTGATTGAATTACTCATCAACCTTCCTCCTCTTCACACCCCATCCTCTCAAACTCAGTTCCTGCCCACCTGAGGGCTGTACTCATAATCAGAAAGAGGGGTCTTCAGCTTGTAACTCAAAATCCAGCTCTTCAGACACAAGCCACCCAGTGTCACCTCTTCTGTCAGCAGTTTCAACTGTAAGTAGTTATGTGAGGAAAATGGGCAATGAGCATCCATTCTGGGTACCCAATGGAAAACATGTCTAGAACATTTAAACAAATTCCCTGTCATAGAAGACATTTCCCCAGAAGACACTTCCTCTTGAAATTATTCAACTTTCACATATTTTTTTAGTATTAAAAAAAATCTTATCTCCCAAACCAAGCCACATTAGCCAGCTCTTGTTTGGTTTGCTTGTTTTCAGTCCTTACACTGTAGAAGCACTAGTTTCCCCTGGGAACCAAAGTTGTAACAAATGTAAAACCAGACAACGAACTAGCATAGCTGGAAATAACTGATGAGTCTCAAAAGCTATGGGAATTATATTTGAAAGAGAGAGAGGAAAAGCAAAAGGTACTTCATTAGATTGGTTGTTCCAAATCTAAGAAGATCCTGGGTCAGGATCAAAGTCTGGAAGCAAAGGCACAAGAGCAACGGCTCCTTCAGGACCTTTGGTCAGCAAACATGTTCTGCCATTCAAATTGAAGTGTGTAATATGCATTTTATAAGCGATCTTATAACTGCAGAACTTATAACTAGCTCAGTTGTCACCAAGGAGATATATTTCTGCATGAAACTAATAAGGGTGAATGTTTGAAATGAATCCTCAAGCTATATGACTGCCTTTTAACTTCAACTTGACCTCAATCTTGGGGAATTTCAATGGCGAATCCATTTCTTTTTCATTCTAATGATGTATCTATCAGTCAGGACAGCAGTCCCATAAGCCTTAGACACTTAGTCTAAGCTTTGGACTGATAATCAATTAAAAACAGTGCTACATGCTCTTTTAGATGGAAAAGGCAAAAATCATATCTGATATATCCTATTTATACTGAATTACATGCCAGTGGGGATTTTAGAACACTTTCTTTTCCCTAGATCAAGATATTAATGGATATTAGTGATTTATTTCTGTGAAATCCTTAAAACTTCACATTTAGTCATTATTAGGGAATTGCATTTATGATATGAGGCAGAACTCTTTGGAATTACCACCATTACAAGTTTCATGTAGAAAAAAATCCTAAAAGTATTCTGAGAAATTGATCCTGGCACAAGCAATTAATGGTGTGAGATCATAAAAGCAATAAACAGTGTGTTTCTTATAAAGGTGTGATATTCCCTAACCAAACAACTCAAGAGGAAAAATCTCAGCTTGAAACACTTAAATTAGATGATTGTTCTTGTTTCCTAAACTCTGCCATTCAACTTCATGACATTTAAAAAAAAATTCTATCACAGTTAAATGATTGGAATGTCCAAAATTATTTACTCAGAAGAAACATTATTTTCTGTCTTTTCACTCTCACTTGGTCAGGTTTATTCCTGTAAGATGACCTTGCATTTCTTATCAGAACCTGTGTGGATATCTGACATTATTTGCATTTTTATTTTAAAAAAGATTTTATTTACTTATTTTTAGAGAGAGGAGAAGGAAAAAGAGAGAGAAACATCAGTGTGTGGTTACCTCTCAAGTGCCCCCTATTGGGGACCTGGGTCACAACCCAGGTCTGTGCCCTGACTGGGAATCGAACCAGCAACCCTCTGGTTAGCAGGCTAGCACTCAATCCACTGAGCGACACCAGCCAGGGGTATTTGCAGTTTTAGATGTACCAGTTACCGAGGATAGATATACCAGATAAAACCAAGGATGTCAGAACACATACCTGAGTAGATGAAGGGAAGTGCTAAGGGATTCATTTAAAAAGTGGCGATGAACAAGAAACAGACCTACTGAAAATAACAGTGCAGATGATGTCAACTGCAGGCAGTCCCCACCGTCTCAGACTCCCTCACTACACAGGACACTTTATTTAGAAAGACCCATTTACCGGGAAACATGAAATGAATGATGCAAATAGCTGAGTATTAAAAATTTAAGACTAGTTTGATTTTTTAAATACCAACTCAAGGAGTAGCTAGTATCAGCTATCTAGTATGGGTTTATTTTCATATCATTTCAAACTGAAGAAATACATTCAGCGTATCTATCCAAAAGTTTCAAGTAGATCACATGATTTACCAGATGTTCATTATACAAATACGACAGAAGGATTTTTTTAGTAGTTATCAGTGAAAGATATAAAATAATATTAACTTTGTGAGATAAAGGGATTAAGAGCTACAAATTGGTAGTTACAAAAAAGTCACAGGAATATAAGGTACAGCATAATGAATATAGCAATAACTATATATGATCCTAGGTGGGTACTTAAAATATCAAGGGGACCATTGTGTAAAGTGTATGATTGTCTAACCACTGTGCTATATACCTGAAACTAATACAAAATAATAGTGAATGTAAACTGTAATTAACAAATAAAATTAAAAAATAGACACCAAATAATAAGTGTTATTACCTTTTTTCTGTAGGAATAGTTAACTTTATTTTTTCTTTAGATTATAAATATAATATATATACATATTATATGTAATATATACATATATAATATATACATATATATATTATATCTATGCCATCCACACATTAATGCCCTCACTATTTCTCTCTTATATTTTCTTCTAGAACCTAAATCAAATGTACTTTTTGCTTCTTCTGGAGATACTTGGGTCAGCAGCATTTCATCATAGTAACTGTCCTTAGAATGAGGAATAATGCTCCCGCCAAAGATTCATTTCTAAGGAGGCCTTTCAAAGATTCCTTCTTTCTTACATCTGGATAATGAAGCTCTCTGGTCTGGTGCTTTCCAGATGCCAACTCTTTTGAACTTATTCTTGATGAGTAGCTATAAATAGCAGAAATGCCTAATTCTGTTTAAATATTTTCTTGAAACATAATTTCTCCAATCATTCTCTTGTTTCACAAAGTTACTTTTTAGAGAAACCTCTGTAAATGTACACATAAATTCTGAACAGGCAGATAGGGAATAAAACAGAGTGGGTGAGGTCTTTGTATTGGAATAGAGATGCTTAAAGAAAATTAGGCAGACTTTGCTTACTGCTTCTTTTTCCATGTAAACAAAACCTAAATGGTCTCCTAAGAGTTTTTGATTTTTAGATGTAGTAAGTGGCCTCATACCTTCATCTTTACAGACTTCAGCTGCCTCTTCTGAAGCAGAGCTGTGCACAGTAGCAGCATTGACACCATCTGTAAGGCAGAAAAGAGAAACACTGTCTCAGAGTTAACACCGTCAAGCTGGAGCCTCCCGCCCGCCCTGCTCGCTCCCCGGCCCTCAGGAAGCATGAGCCTGGGGCACGTTCTAATACGCTGAACAGCGTCTGAAGGGGTTAGTGGCTGGTGATTCCCTTTTATACTTAATGAAACAGAAACTTTCAGTTAAGAGAGAACCCAATGAATTAAAAACTATTTTTTTTGGTTAAAAGTGCTATTGGTTGGTACTTTTCTACTTTGGTATTTTGCTTCTTCCCCACCTCTAGTAGAACGCTACATTGTTTTTCTTAGTAACAGATTATGAAAGAAAGTATGCTCTTGCAAGTTACTACAAAGTGCTCTTATGTGTGCATTTTTAAAACTGTTTTTTTCTCAGCACAGCAGTTGTGCTGCTCTAGCCAGCCTCCCACCGCAGGGTGCAGAGGCCCGGAGAGGGCGTCATGTGTAGGAGAGCAATGGAAGCCCCGGGAGATTTCACATCACCCAGCACAGCATGGGGAATGAGGAACTTGGAGATCGCTGTCCCCTTACAGCAACAATTAACCTCGGCAGAGGAGGTCTGTCTTCCCAGTATGATCGGCACCCCAGCAATTCCACTCACGTTTGGCCTCCGGGATGACAGATAATTAACTTACTAACATTAAAATGGTAAATTTAAGAAGTGAAAATTATCAAAAGCATTTGAAATGGTTAATACTTGACAACTGGAAAAGGAATACATATATATGTATTTTTTTTCATGCAGTAACAGGGTCAGGAGTTAAAGAATCATACATACATGCATGGCAACATGCATGTTTATCTACCATGGCAAATCATACATTTTCTAGTTTATCTGTTGTCTATAATGTATATGAGTATTGCTTTTAGGTCATGCTTTTATTGGAACAGAGAATAAAAAGTTTAGTAGAGGGCTAATTGAAGAGGATAAATCACTTTCTTTTGTTAAGTAACAATCTCCTATTAAAAATAAATAGAACAAACTATTAATCTTGATGTTACATCTTCCCATTTCTTCTCTTCACTGCAAAACTCCCTAAAAGAGCTGTGTCTGTTGCACTTCTATACTTTCTTACTTCACAGTGTCTCCATAAGCCACTGCAATTGGCTTTCGTACTCCTCCAGGAATTCTCCTATCAGAGGTGTTGATGAGCTCCCTTTGCCAAACCCAATGGTCAATTCCCTTTTCCATCTTCCTTGATTTCTCAGTAGCATTTCTTTACTCTGGTTCTTTCTGAAACACTTTCTTGTTGTGGCTGCTCCTTCTCACCTGTTGCCACATATGTAGATGTAATGGTGTCACAGGTCTCACTGTTTTCTTTATATGACATGTTCTTTCTAGCAAATATTATTCAGTCTCATATAATTTATATGCCAGTGACTCTCAAACCTGCATCTCTGTTCTACACCTCTCCTTAGAAATCCAGACTCATAGGTCTAACTGGCTTTTTGACATCCCATGTGGCTAAAAGTCCTCTCAAATTTACCATGGCCAAAACTGAGCTGTTAACGTTCTCAGCAGCAACTGTGCCCTGTGGCCAATCCTCCATCTATCATACGGGTAAGTCACCGTCACTTCCATAGCTACTAATGCTAAACACCTAGGACTTACTCCTCTTTCCCTCTTTCCCCAACTCTAATCCAGCAACATATCCTGTTACTTCTATCTCTGGAATGCAACACAATTCAGTCCATTTTTGTCACCATTTCAAGAAACCACCATCATTGTTTTCCTACTATAGTCTTCTAAGTGTTCTTGCTTTGGCTCTTTTGACCATCTTAACTGATAGGTAAAGCAAGCTTATTAAAGCATAGCTTATGTCTCATCACTACTTAAAAACTCCCATTGGCTTCTCTTTGTAGTTCTAATAAAATGAAATCTTATACAGTCAGAAGTAATCTGGTATCATGACTTTGTACCAGATTTCATACTTTGTTCCTCCAATTCACTGTGCTCTGGCCATTCTGCCTTCTTTTGTCAACATGCCAAACCCAAGCTGGCCAAGAGGCATTTGCATTATCTGTTCCCTCCATTTGAATGCACTTTTATCATCTCATCAGTTAGATTTCATTTTAATTATTGCTTCCTAAGGGAATCTTACCCAACCTAGCCAATGGAAGGTGGCCTTCACAGTATTCCTTCCGCATTATCTCATTTCTCTGCAAGGCATTTGTTGCCATTTTACACTTTTTTGTTGTTTATTGTTTACTTTTGGACTTGCCCCACCAGAATATAAGCTTCAAGGAAGCAGCGATATTGTCTTTATAGTTTACTGCTCTATCCCAGTGCCCAGATAGTGCCTGTAACCCTTGGCGTGTATTTGTTATATGACTGGGACTATTATCTACAACTTTGATTAGATTTTATTATGATAGCAGTAAAAACTGATGGGTTATGTTAGTATGAGACTGTGTTTTTTCTTCAAGCAAAAGAGGTCTGCAGAATTGTATAATCAAAATTGCAGTTGGAAATTATATTGAATAAAAAATGGATATTTTATTTTGGAAGAATAACAGCAGGTCAAAAAGGCTTTAATAACCAGATCCAGGTCTGCAGTTTCTTTGCACATGGATGAGGGAGGCTATGAAATGAGCAGAGTGGACATAACAAGGCATGTGGACACTGGCCTGGGTTGTAGGTGAACCCTGTCACTGGACCCCATGCCAGCCAACAGTCTCTTTTGGAAGAGCAAGAGGAGCCCTTCAGGTGTGCATTTAGGACCCTTCCTCACACTGAAAGGTTCCCATACTGTGGTGATGACACTAGTGATCCAAGAGGTAGAGAAGAGGTTAAATATTACTTGCTGCTAACAGGCAAGATGGCCCCATATCAAAAAAAAAAAAAAAAGAGAGAAAGAAAGAAACTGCCTGTTCTCAACTGGTTAAGGGGAAAGGGTGAATAAATAAAACACAGGTAAATGGATGTTCATGTGTATACATGTGCATGTGTGTGTATCGGTATGCATAAACAGGGATAGGAAAAATCTATATTGATAAAGACGGTTTGGGACAAAATATTGAGTGAAAAAACCCTGTGAAACCTCAACGTTCAGAGAATGACCTCAGCTGTCAACAGTTAGTGGACTAATATTGATCAGCTCCAAACAGTAAAAACAATGACAGCTCTTCATATAAGACTCATCTTCCATGGAGCATAATGATGCGTGGGTCAGGAGCTGGGGTGGGGGCATGAATAACAACAGTTTGCTGTATCAGAATTCATTTCATTGCAAGTACTGCATTTCAGCAAAGGGAGCCCGCTGACCCTGCAGCAGCCGCACAAGGTCTTTGCTGCCTTGCTTCAGTGCTTTCTCTGATTGGCCTTCTTCAATTCCATCTTCCAGGTTAATAATAAAAGCTTCCAGTTCTTTTGCAAAAGTTCCAAGGTTAATGTAGGAAATTTTCAGTGAAAAACTTTTCCCACTACCTGGTTTGTTTCCAATAGTTCAGCATATGGCCTAGAATGTTCCCTGGCACACATTAGACAGAGCCCCCATTTCAAAAATACTCCCCGACCACCACCACACCACACCACCACCGTGGTGCTCATTAGAACCAGGAGAATGACTTGCAAACTAAAGAGAAGAAACATATTTTTATTGGGTGGTTGTGTTGAAAGCTGCATCATTATGTCTATTATTTTTAAAAGACAGTATGCCTGAGTACAAAAATGGGTAGAAAGAGACAATAAATTGAAGGTGAGGATAATCTCTTTTGAGCCTTACATACTATTTTATTTTAATATGTTCAATTGACACATCTGTTCCGTAATGGACAGAGGACATGTCTAGAGGCTTGGACCTCACTTTAGCTCTGTGTGTGGAGGAGTCAGGCTCTGTTATGCCATCTCCTACAACATGCAGAGAAATAACCAGAAATATGGCTCTTCAAAATTTAATGCAAAACAGTAAAGAACACTCCACTCTTTGTGGAGGGGAAGCCTCTTGTTTATTTCCTTTAAGCATTTTTTCACTTCTTCCTTTTTTTTTTTCCCCAAACTACACGCACTCATTTTAACCTGCCCTAAATCAGCCAGCCTATTATCTGGCACTTCAACCTCTACTCACCCCTGTTAAGTCATTACTAAACAGACTGTTATTACATGCAAGGAAAATGGAATAGGTGAATGAGACATGATAATGTACCCTTCTGACAGGAAGCCCTAACTCAGAGTTAGTAGAGTTAGTGGCTTCCTGAGGGATGTCTGAATGAATAGTGAAGTTAACCTGGTAAAATGTATAAGCATTTTCAGAAAATAACACTAAGTCTTGTTCACCTCTGTGGATGAGGCCTAGGAGATTCCTCAAAAGAAATCTGAGCCCACCTGCTTCTTGGCTCTGCCCTTCCATTTCTTCCACACTTTGTTTTCCCTCTGGACCATTTTCATCTTTCAAGAAAACCACAGAGGAAAAAAAATTACATCAAGTCAATTTATGAAATATCTCTTTATGGCTAATATGCAGCATTGAAATTAATAACCAATGTAGCATGACTCCCCATAAAGCAAGCCAGAGAGATGAATCAGAGGCATGAAACAGAAAAATTACCTACATAAATAGGTGCACTTATACTCGTCCCTTTGCACACGATTTGCTTGATGAAATGTTGAACTGCAGTAAACAAAATTCACTCAGCAGTCCTAGTTACATCTCTCTCCTTGCACAGCATTTCCCAAAATGCAATACAGATTTTAAATCCAATCTTTTCTCCCTTGACTCAAGCAATCTACACTGTGTAAAAAATTTGGTTAAGTTTCTGTGCCCTTTATATTTCTGTTTGATCTATGTTGCAAAAATATCTATTTTTACTTAACTTATGCATCAAAGCCTAACATATCTATGCTATAAAATATTTTGTCTTGAACAAATTATGCTGGTCAAGTTTACACTATAGTACATAAATCCTTAAAAAATAAATAACTGAGAAGGTGTAATGGTGCCTATACACTAGAAACTAGCTAAAATTGTCTTTTGGATTAAAATGTATAATATAGATCTGTGAATTTATATGTATAAAAACAAATTTTTCAAAGGCAAAGAAAGACATATTTTATAACTTATTGCTGGGAGGCTTTCCAAACCTCTTTTTGTTTGGAAAAATATTTTTAATGATAAATTTACATAAAGACACAAACAAAATATAAAACATGTAGTCAAAGTGCATAGAACAGAGAAGCAGAAGTTACCAGCATATATTATTGTGGGTTAAACATGGCTACAGATCCTTTGTCTCTCAGGAAGTAGAATCTCTCTCTTCTTCCCTTTAATCTGGACTGGTTCTGTAAATTGTTTAGATCAATGAAATGGGGAAGTGATATTCTGGGTGATCCAAGGCAAGGCCTTAGAGGACTAGCAGCTTCTACTTCTCCCTCTGGGAAGCCAGCCATCATTCTTTAAAGATACTCAGGCTAGCCTAGCAAATGGAAAGAGGCACACGGAGAGGAAGAAGGGCCATGTGGCAGAGCAAGGAGGGGCCAGGTGTGTGAGCGAAGCCTTCTCAAAACCCTCTAACCCGGCCCAGCTGCCAGCTAAATGATGGCCTCAGCCAAAGACACAAAGAGCAGAAGAATCACCCAGCTGAGCCCTTTTAAAGTTCCTGATCCACTACCAGGCCAGATTTCTTAATCTTGTTTTGTTTAAGTGTTTTTAGTTTTGTTTTTAAGATTTTTAGTTATTTATTTTTAGAGAGAGGAAGGGAAGAAGAAAGAGAGGGAGGGAAACATCAATGTGTGGTTGTCTCTAGTGTGCCCCCTACTGGAGACCTGGCCTGTAACCCAGGCATGTGCCCTGACTGGGAATCAAACCAGCGACCCTTCGGTTCACAGGTTGGAGCTCAGTCCACTGAACCATGTCAGCCAGGGCCATTAGGTGTTTCAACCCACCATCTGCTACTACTACCAGCTCCTAATCTAGAGGCAAGAGGACGGTTTTTCCCCAGAGGAGAACTCAACTAGTAGAGCTAAAACAGGAGCTTCAGAGATGGAAAGGGGAAATATGTCTCTGAAAAGCTCTGAAAAATAACCTACTGAACTGAGTACCTGGATGAAGGAAAAAGTTTATTATACAATGGCAAAAAGTAAATGCATAGATAAAAAGAATGACAGTGGGGAAGGAATGCTATCAGTGAATATGTTAAGTATGGACAAAATTCCCTCTGCCCTGCACTGTGCGATTTGTCACAAGGGACAACTTCTGGGGCACCTCATAAACTTTACTATGAGAGCCTGGGGCAGCTCTGTAGCTACCTAAATCCAATGTTCTCACCTGTGTTTTTATAAGTACCACAGGTGATCTGACATTTTCTCTCTTCTGGTTCTCCGAGTGGGTGACAGCATTGGCTTTTGTTCTAGGAATGAAATAGCCATCACTGCTTTTCTGGCTGCCTTAATAAGGCCAAGTCGGTGCAGGAGCATGTGTCAGAAACATAGGTGAGTGTTTCCCCTCCTCCTCTCATCAAATGCACTCAGAGTCAAGCAGGAAAAATCTGCCAGCTTTTCTGTCTCACCCAACAAGCAGATCTTTTAACACAGATTTCACAGTAGGCTTGAAGCCTACAGTGACACGCTGCCTTTAAAATTAGTCTGATTACCACATCTCTATGGAGTGGGGCTAAAAAGCTTTCTTGTGAGGAGAGGAAGAAAAGAAGGAAAAGAGAAACAACAATTAAGTAATAGGAAAGTGAGAAATTGGTTCCAGCAGTTCTAAATGCATGAAAAATAAATTCATGGTCAGACCCCAAGTCCAGCTTTGTAATAAAACCCAATCTGGCTGTCTTCCTAGTCTACTGTTGCTGTGTGTTTTACTTTTATCCTTGCGCGCTCTCCCATTCCCTAACGCAACCACATGCCTGGCATGCTTTTGTTTTCCACTTTGAGTCTTGGCTGCACAGTGTTCTAGTTATAGTAGTTCTGCCTTTGGGCAGAAAACTCAAGAGACAGTTGGAATTTTTATCACAGAGTATGTGTCTTCTAGAAATTTGCTGGATTTGCCATTTGAGTAACATGCCCTCAAATGAGAAGGTTCAGATATATTGCTTTCATCAATTTCCAAAGACATTCATCTGCAAATCCAGCAGGGGGAACCAGTGTAGAAGTCTTGCTTTCAAAACCCACTTTGTGCATTCTTGGGCAATTAGATTAGCATTCATTTCACTCTCTGTTAAAAAGACGGTTTGGCCAGCATATAACTTTCCATCCATTTTAAATGCCTCAAATGCGTGAGTTCTTAGTGAAACAGTGGGCTTCTACTGATAGGAAAAAAAAATCCCATTACACAGTTACCCATAAGGATTTTATATGGACAATCTTTCCTTTTATCAGCCTTGTCTGTCTAGCTATTGTCACAGGAAGCACATAAACAATAAAAGTTGAGTAGAGTAGGGAATCTAAATGTGTGGTTTTTAGAAGGGATTTTAAAAGGCTCATAATAAACGTGAAGAAATACAGGGAAGTGACATGCTATTTCATTAACTTAAAAAATGTTGCTCAGAAGCTAAATTCTCTTAGTTAATATACTAAAAGGTCATGTATTTATTTCAGATGATAAATTTCCACAGCACTCATGTGGTGTGTTACATAATACTTTACTTTCCTATGCCCCAAAGCACAGTAATCTGTGAGAATTCTAGTTGTGGCATCCTTTTTGTTTTTCCATATTAGGACCCTGCTCCTCACTGTTTCAACCCATATATACTGAGCATATACTCAGTGCAAGATATCTGAGAAATTTTTATAGAAATAAAAATAATAGACTCCTGCTGCAACATAAATTTATAGAAGCAGAAGGAATGTACCATTGGTTGGATGATGATAAGAATGCAGTCCATGTGTAATACTATGTGGAAGAGTTTTCCAAGGGCAAAGTCTCAATGTCACGGCCACAAATTATTTTCCTGATATTTGTGGTTTCTTTATGAACTGTATATGGGGATGGAAAGTAAATCAGAGCAAATCCATCTCTGCCATTGGGGAAACAACCTGTTGCTTTTGATTGCTGGCGTACTATTACCATTTCTCTTAAAGGTCCCAATATTTCTGCACATAAACAGAGCATAGACGATTGAAATACAGTGGTTTGAAGATTGGATTATAGATCCCCATTCTTCAGTCCTATACTGGATTATAATCTCTGACCTCCCACAGTAGGCAGAGAATATTTCCTGCTCCATTGATGCTGGACTTGATTCCAAGTGCCTTTATTTGGCTAATGAAATATTAGTGGACCTGATGTGAGCAGGAGGCTGAAATGTGCTACATAATTGAACTTGGGACTTGTGTTCCTGACATTTGTCTGACAAGAAATCCCTTTAGCACTGGTTTAAAGAAGACGAGAGATGTGTGGGTCAGGCTTGAACTCAGTTTATTAGTTTAGCCACAGTTTGGAGCTAAATCCAGGCAACTCATGTCTTGAAACAAAACTGCCCAGCAGAGCACAACTTACACTTGCTGAGCTACAGTCAACCTGCAAACCTGTGATCACAAGAATAAATATTTTTGTTGTAAGGCAGTGCATTCTGGGGTGATTTGTTATGCAGTATCATTGTGAAATAGCTGATTAATACAAATCACCAAATGCTATATTGATTTTTTTTTAGCTCAGGAGTGGTCAAAGATATTTTTAAGTTGACGTTTTTTATTTATAAAAAATAGTTTTAAATTTTGCATTTTGCCACCCAGGTACATTTTTATCTTGCATATTTCAAAATTCCCTAGAAGATACACACTTGAAAAATAAATACAGCTTATACAAGGGAGGCATTCTCTCAAAAAGTAAGTACTGCCATTTGCAATGTTTGTATTTTATGTAGAAGAGCCACGTGGGCAGCAGGGTGTCAGTTAACACCAGCTAACATTTATTGAATAGTGGTTATGTTCTATTCAGTGCTTAAGTGCTTTGCATAGGTTATCAAATTTAATTGTCACAACTACTCAGTGAGATAGGCGTTATTATTACCCACATTATATGAATATGGAAAATGAAGTACAGAAATGTTAACTAAGTTGCATAATATCTCACAGGTAGGAAGTGCTGGCAATGGGGTTTCAACCCAGTCAACTGATGTGAGAACCCCCTATTGCTTCCCTAGAAAGGTAACTGATATATGTGTTTGGGTAAGATATTTAAATTATGGGTAAGCAAAAATCTGGGGAAATGGTACTTAATATAAAAATATAATATGAAAACTGAGCTGTAATCTCATACAGATTAACACAGAGCACTAAGAATATGAATTCAGCTCTCTGATACTTAGTCCAAGAGAGTGCAATGCTGTAACTCCAGCATTAACTTGTCTTTTTAATGCCAAAGATATTTTTGTTTTGGTATAATTTTAAACAACAGAAAGTTACAAGAAACTGTATGGTTTTCGGAACCATTTGAGAGCAAGTCG